ATATATATATATATATATATATATATATATATATATATATATATATATATATATATATATATATATATATATATATATATATATATATATATATATATATGGAGTATTATTCTTTAGGCCTATAGTATTCAATTCGTCTTTAATTCCGTAAAATTTTTAAATCACTATCGATTGGAAAATTTTTATTTCTTAATTTGGAAGTTACTAACCCATGGAAAAAGAAGCTTTATTTTTTATCCATTTCAATTAAACGAAAAATTTTCATAAATAATATGATGTTATCTCAATAAAATTTTTAATATTATTTCATCTTTATTGATTTTAACTATAATGGTTATGATGTTGATAATGACAACAAGAATAATAATAGTAGTAATAACAACAACAACAACAACAACACCGATAGCAATAACAACAACAACAACAACAATAATAATAATATTGAAAAGAATTGAAAAAATAGTCTAAGTTGCGTGTTTATCATTAGAAGCTAAGTTTTTCAACCCAAAAGAAGATGTCTTAAATCTAGACTCGAGCCCGGCTCGAGCCCACATGGCCAACAATTGAAGCTCATACCCGACCTGCTTGGGTACCCACAGGCTTTGGCCTGGCCAACACATATTCAATATGTTTCTAAAACAATATAACTCCTTTCCTTTGTAGACTCCTGACTCTAGAAGCATGACATGTGGCATACCTTGTTGGAATTTTGGCTTATAATGGGACTTTTTCGGATGTAAATACGATGGGGTCCACAAAATTATTTTTTCAAAATAATAAAGGAAAATAAGTGGGACAAGTATTTCGACGTATTGTGCGCCAAAATGGTTCTCGGTTGAATGATAAATTAATTCACGAAGTTAGACGCTTTGAAGGAGGAAACCCATGCATCTCACAACGGGTTTGGACCTTTCATCTTCCGCTATTTATATGCTAGCATTGAATTGTATGTTAAAAGCAATTTGAGAAGGAGGAAAAAAATAACCCTTCGCGCACCACTGCCACCTCCGTTCGTCTGGCTCGTCATAACACTGCACCACACGTACGCCCGCGCACGTGCAACGCGTTGTGATGTGGCAAGGGCGTGGGCCAACTCTTATCATTTTACGAGACCGAATATACACAAGAGGATATGTTGTTGATAACGAAGCATACATGCAATGTGAAAAGACTCTAGAGACTCCTCGTGTTGTCCGCTGACCCATATGAACACCTAAAGCCTCTCCTCTAAGGAAAGCAAATCGCATAGGAGAGACACCAAAAACTCAAGACCTTCTCTCTGCGTTTCAACTCTTATTTGTTTTTCGGATCAATTTTTCGGCGAATAACTCTCCTGTTCCTTCCAATTCGTCGTTGCACAGTTCTACCGCTCTAGACCTTGCACGTTAGCGGTTTTATCCTGGGAGGAGAACGTAAATGTTAGAAAGTATAGGAGGTGGGATATATTACCTTAAAGAAAACTCTGGAGACTCTGCTTTCCTTTCTTTTCGTTCGGCTCCCAGTGACCTTTTACTTTTTATTTTATTTTATCTCCGTTATAAAATCCAAACATATTATAAGTTTGGATTATTCTCTTCTTTTTTCCCGCTGTAAACTCCTACTAATCTCAACCATATTAAGGTAGTAGTCATGGTTTTTGTATTCGGAATCATGGGTTCCTCCGCCAACGGAATGAGTTCCAAAGTTTCGGCAGGAACTACATTGATCGGCTTGGAAGTGTCTTTCTCACCACTACCCTTTGGGTCCTGTGTAGAGGCCGCTACCATGACCTCTTTTTCGATGTTGAGTTCCATCTTTGGGTCAGCTCCTACCCCCGTTTTGGGGTTTAGGACCTCGGGCTGTCGGGCATGCACTCCGCCGGTTACGTACCAACAAACCCCATTCTTGAACCGACATCGGCTTTGGTCATACTGGTTAGCACTTCTATCGAACCGAATACGGGGTTGAACACATCGGTCAATCCGTTTGTGGGACCATATTGGACTACAAAGCAAACCGTTTGGTCTCACATCTAACCTAGTTGGGCCGATATGCGTGTCTCTAAGCACGATCAAGATGCCACCAAAGTTTAATGGCACAAATTTCAAAATGTGGCAACAAAAGATGATGTTCTTCTTGCAGTCCTTGGTTTGGTGAGTACCTCAAGCAAGACCCTCCCTAGGTGACCGAGAACTGCAACCCTCTCGTGGCAATGTTAAATCAGACTTGGTATCACAATAATTACCTGTGTGTGAACTACATTCTAAGGGGGTTAATGGAGACATTGTACCTTGTCTATTGTCATACCAGAATCGCAAAGGAGCTCTGGGAAAGTTTGAACAAAAAAATCAAGCTGAAGATGCCGACACGAAGATGTTCATCATCGGAAAAGTCTTAGACTACAAGATGGTAAACAACAAATCCGTTTTCGCCCAAGCCGAGGAGCTCAAAGTTTTCTTCAACAAATGAAATGAAGAAAAAGTGGGCGTTAGTGAGGCCTTCCAAGTGGCAGCCATCATACACATGCTTCCGCACTCATGGGAAGACTTCCCCACGGACCTAAGGCTCCAGAGGACTGGGCTAAATCTAGAGCAGCTCCTCCCACGCTTAAGGATCCGAGAGGAACAGCTTGCTAGGAGGAGGGAAGGTGCGAAGGCGAATTTCATTGAACATCCTTCTTGATCCTTGCAAGGTGGAAAAGATAAGAAGAAAATTGGTCCTAAAGGTATCGTTTCCAAATTTTTAGGAAAATGCTACAATTATGGCATTACGAGGCATCGCTCCTCTGCCTGCAAGAAAAACAAGCCTCAAAAGAATAAGAAGAATACAAATGAGGTTTTTGCACAGAGTTGGACAACTTGGACCTATGTACAATTGTCACTGAGATAAAGCTCGTCGGGTCAAACTTGAAGGAATGATTTATGGACACAGGAGCCACACGACATATTTGCTCTAATCGGAGCATGTTCCATAAATTTTAAGAGACCTCTGATGACATGGTCTGGATGG